TACTTTTCTGTTCTTATACCTACGACCTACCATGGCCTGTGTACGTACGAGAATGATAATCCGCCACAGGACAGAGATAAAGAGGGATATGACATAACAAGAGCATATGAAGATAAGGGCTAACACGGTAATGTTCCGACGCGGAGTAATAACTTGCTCGGTTGTGAAACTACATTTACGAAATCTTTTTATTATCAGACTGAAAATTAGATTGGATGTTTAGGAGAGGAAGAAGGAGGGAGAAGAAGGGAGGAAGGGAGGAAGGGAGGGAGGGAGAGAAATAGAAAGAAGAGTGACAGACAGACAGAGAGAAGGACAAAGACAAAAATAGAGAGGGAAAAAAACGTCTAAATCCTATTCGTATTATCGTCACCCTTATCGTGGCCCTGGAAGAGAAAAATAAAACAATTTATGACTGCCATAACGAGAATAGGCGTCACCAGCGCGTATCAGCTATGCCGGGCGAGAGGTGGGGTGCGTTGTGATTCATTCTGATTAGAAATAATACGTTCAGCGAGTCCATTTTGTTCCTTAAGGGCGTCGTGGTGCTCCAGGGTGATGCTGCCTCAGGTCGCCATGTTTTCGTGGAGCCCATTGAGGTTGTTTTCACTCGCCGGGTTGAGATTGAGTGATACAACAGATACGATGTTTACAGATCTGCGTTTTCAAATACTTCCTTTCGTTCGCCGTTCCATGCAGACGTCCCCGTGTAGGTGTGGTTTCTTGCACACAAACATTTACACATACGCGCGCGCGCACTAATACGTGGCTTGTTCATTCACTCACGAAGCAGCTGCTTCTCTCTCCTTTTTCTTCCTTTTCATCCGTCATGATCGACGTGGTTTCAGCTCTTCCCGTTGACTTTGTGCCATTAGTAAGCTTACTAAACTGCGATTAAATGAGTTTATGTATGAATATATATATATGTGTGTGTGTGTGTGTGTGTGTGTGTGTGTGTGTGTGTGTGTGTGTGTGTGTGTGTGTGTGTGTGTGTGTGTGTGTGTGCGTATGTATGCATATGTATATTTTTCTTCATATATTTTTCGATTCTTTTGGAGATCTTCCTTCCGCCACCCTTATTACCTTTCTATTCGAGTGCACTTCCTCTTCCTGTTCGCTGCATCCCCCCCCCCCCCCCCACCTTCACGCTTCGAGCAGAAGGGAGGGGAATTGGGGTCACACCTGTCTGCCTTCTCTGTTTTAGGCCTACCCGAATTTTCTTGGGCGAGGCAACGGGATTGCGGTTCTATGGTCCGCCGGAGAGGTCGGCCCTCGCTGCATTGGCCTCCGGTACGCCCCTCCTCGGATAATAGGCCTTGTGGAAAGGGGGCATTAGGGCGCGCCTTAACGGACTGCGAGGAAAACCTATACTTACATTCCCACGCAGGTAGATTACTTCCACAACACCGTATCTATGTCTGTACGTGTCCCACTGAATGGATAAAAAAAAACATGCATTAGAGGTTTCTAATCAGAAAAAATATGTTTTATGGCCGCATTTTCATTCTGACCCAGACAAGAGATTACAGATTTTTTTCTTTTTATTTTTACTACTTGTTCGACAGGTTGTGACTTCCAAGCGTACGCGTGTGCTAAAGAGGTTAAATCCTGGTGAATGCACAGTCTGCATACAGCTGATAGCGTGTCGGTCAGCTGGTCAAACGAACGGATGCCAATTATCGACGCCAGATTCGCTCGCCTCACGCCCAGTCTGTTGTGCGGGAAGTGGTTACGACACCATTCATGTATTAATCATTAGAAATGTCATGGGCGTCCCTGAAGGTGCGGTTGGCGGATCGTTACCACAGCCATACTTTCTGGAGTTTCTCCCCTTCCACCCCCACCCCCCACTTCCACCCATTCCCGCCCATATCCTAATGAGAACGTGACCGCCGCAGCGACGTCGCGAAGCCTCAGTTGGCCTCCTCCCGCTCCTCCTGCCGGTGGCGCGTTTGGTTTGGAGGAGGGGGTGGGAGACGAGAAGGAGGAGGAGGAGGAAAACCAGAGGAAAAACCAGAAGGAGGAGGGGGGGAACAGGAGAGGGGAGATAGGAGGTGGAGCAGGAAAGGAGAGAGGAGGGGAGGGGGGCGATGAGGGGGATGGCGAGTGGGAGGGGGAACCCCAGAAGGAGTAGTACGGGAAGGCAAGAAACATGTGCAGGAGAGGAGGAGGGGGAGACGAATAGGAGGAGGGGGGGACGAATAGCAGGAGGAGGGGGAAGGTCAGGGGAGTGGGAGGAAAGCTGGAGGAGTGACTAGTCTTAAACCGCAGCCAGGGTTTCTCGATGCGATAGTCCGACCTTCTTCGGAGAGTAACGCATCCTTGGGACATCGTTACCCAAGGTAGCATTTAGTGCGAAATGCGAACGCGACACAGATTCATCAGATGCGCTAGACATGGTTCCTAAACACCGTCCGTTATGTAGAAGGAGGCCAGTGATGACGCACCATACAATCCCGAGCCGCTGTTTGACTTAATGACGCGGGTTGTTTGCTTTTGG